TACAGCTGCGGTATCGCCGGCCACCTTGCCCGCAACTGTCCCAACCCTGGAATGGGTCGCGGCGCTGGTGCTCCTCGTGGCGGTTACGGAGGAGGTTTCCGTGGCGGTTTCGCTGGCGGCGCTCGCCCGGCCACCTGCTACAAGTGCGGTGGACCCAACCACTTTGCCCGCGACTGCCAGGCCCAAGCCATGAAGTGCTACGCCTGCGGCAAGCTTGGTGAGTAAACTGAGCGCATCCCTAGTTACAATTCCTGACCAAACTAGGCCACATCTCCCGCGACTGCACTGCTCCCAACGGCGGCCCATTGAACACTGCCGGCAAGACCTGCTACCGCTGCGGCGAGACCGGTCACATCTCCCGCGACTGCACACAGGCTGAGGTCAACGGCGATGCTACCGCTGCCCCTGTCGCTGCTGCTCCCGTCCCGGCCGCTGCCCCCACCGCTACTGTCGCTTAGACGACTGTGAGCTAAGCCAGAGGTCCACCATTGAGTAACATCGCGGCGACCACTGGCCTACCCAGCATGCATCTCCATGCCTTCCCTTAGTTTGTCATTTCATCACAATCGTTTTCCTGGCCAATCTCAGCATCATATCGGCATATCTCACGCATTCACGAGTCATCAACGGATACGGCAAAAGTTCTTCACGATTCTTACACTGATACCCCACGAACATTGTATCCCTTACTTCAACCATTCTACCATTATTTCGACAGACGACGGCTTGGCGATTTGGACGGCGGCCTGTCTGTATGCAAGTGATTTGGATCGACTGCGGCTTCGGCAGAAGCGTTGTTGATGCGAATTTGCTTGGATAGATCAGGTTCGCTTATGGAGCTGGAGGCGGCTGTGGTGGTTTGGTGTGGAAAGAGTGCCCCCAGGGGTTGAGGGGGAAGAGTGAAGGAGACTGTGTGTTTGTCGGGAGCTGAGTCGGTATATCTGTCTGTTATCATGTTTATACTTCTTTGTGCTTGCATATGATAGATCTAGATTGTATCATCTATTTCGAATATATGCAATCTCATGAACAATTATTTTCAAGTTTTGACTTCAATGCCGACACTAGTCACGGCCGCAAGCATCTAAACTACCCAAACTTAAGATCTGTCGCGATGTCTGTTTATGAACATACCAGGCAGGGACGTACATTACTGTCTTTGTATTCGGACTCTTCCTACGATCGAGCCGGTGCAAGTTCAGCTATATCTCAGGGTTGAAGGCTATCGCGTTGGTGGTGGCTGCTCCTTCCTTCCTCTCATTCACACACGTGGAGTTGAGCCTAGTGCTCCTTCCCATCATGCCTTCCTTCATGATCTCACCTCCGCAGGATTTTCTCCGTCCTTTCCTCGCATTGTTCGCACCTTCACTCGCAAACGCATCATTCGCAATTCGCTCGTATCGTTTCTTTTCATCTCATCTCGCGTCAGTCATCACCAGCAGTTACTATGGGTGCTTCTTCAGTAGCCAGCGACGACTCGAATAACGATGTGAGTGACTGCCTCTTTCCACAGTAAGACTGATCTTGACTAACCTCACAAAGGACGGCTTCATTGTCGACATCGATGCGATTCAAGCGCACGGCATCGGCGCTGTCGACATTTCGAAGCTCAAGTCAAACGGCTACTATACGATCGCGTCGGTGCATTCGGCTACTCGTCGCAACCTCCTCAAGATCAAGGGCTTCAGTGAGATCAAGGTTGACAAAGTCAAAGACGCCATCGCCAAATGCCAGGTGCGTCACTGCAGTAGGCCAGCACTTGAGTGCGCATCACTGACATACGTCGCAGCCTTCTGGTGGAGGCTTCCAGACCGCTCATGAGCTCGGGCATCTACGCAAGCGTGTCATCAAGATCTCTACTGGTAGCAAGGCACTCGATGCAGTCCTCGGAGGGTGAGTGCACACCCAGTCGATTCTCTTTGGGTTGCCGCTGACGGTAAACAGTGGCTTCCAAACCATGAGCATCAGTGAGGTCTTCGGAGAGTTCCGCTGCGGAAAGACCCAGTTGTCACACACCATGTCCGTCATTGCGCAGCTGCCGAAGGATATGGGTGGTGCAGAAGGCAAAGTAGCATACATCGGTACGTTGGATGTCGCTCTCTTCGAACGCCGCTGACCACAATGCAGATACCGAAGGTACCTTCCGGCCTGAGAGGATAGCCCAAATCGCTGAGCGCTTTGGAGTCGACCCTGAGACTGGTGGGTACCGTTCTCACATCCCTATCGCGTCTCTACTGACCGTCCATAGCCCAAGACAACATCACCTATGCTCGCGCTGTTAACTCGGAGCATCAGATGGAGCTGCTCAACAAAGTCGCCGAGTTCTTCGTCAGCAACGAGTACCGACTACTCATCATCGACAGCATCATGGCCCTGTTTCGTGTCGATTATACAGGTCGAGGTGAACTGAATGAGCGCCAGCAGAAGCTCAACCAGTTCCTCTCCAAGTTAACGCATGTCGCTGAAGGTGCGCGATAGATTACTCCCAATCTTTGATATCTGCTAACATCACTCAGAGTTCAATGTCGCTGTGCTATTGACAAACCAAGTTCAGAGTGACCCTGGTGCGAGCGCTCTCTTCGCTGGCGCAGACGGTCGCAAGCCGATCGGTGGCCACATTCTTGCTCACGCCTCTGCTACGAGGATTCTGCTCCGTAAGGGTCGGGGTGAGGAGCGTGTTGCCAAGATCCAAGACTCTCCCGGTATGTCATCCTTCGTTGCTACTACTCTTGCTACCTCTACTGACAGACTGCGTTAGACATGCCGGAGAAGGAGGCGACGTACATCATTACCAACGGCGGTATCAACGACCCGGAGAAGGTGTGACAGATATGTAGTGATCTCGCTTCGGTGCATCTATGAGGGAAGATTTACGAACAGGTGGCGGTTTACGAGACGGAGTAATGTACTTCTATGATTCTCAATCATGAGAAGGCTTGAAGTGGATAAATTCCTTAGTAGTCGCATTGCAGTAGTCTACGAACAGCAAGTCTACAGCTTTATAGTAAGATTGTACATGTCTAGGCCCACCGCAACTGCAGTGACCGCAGCAATGTATGCGACGAGTATTGCCATGGACTGCACAACACTCATGTGCAAGGTCGGGAACGTCATGTTAACCAAACCCGTGAGCAGATTCGCCACAAGGAAGACTGCAAGACCATTGCGGTTGAAAGCATAAAGAACAGTGCTGGTAGCATCCCTGCTTCTCCGCGATTCCTCGCTTTTGGTCGTAGCTTTGTACAAGTTCGGAAAGAGGATACTTTCGATAGCGTAACAAATGGTAATTTGGTAGCTGTTGAACGACGAGACCCAGAGGAAATAGGGCAGATTGGCTAGGCGGCGCGATACAGGGAGTCGAAGACCGTAGTAGCTAGTTGAGAAGTAGAATAACCCTGTCCAAAGCATGGAGGTCATGATCAGCTTTCCGAATGTGGATTGCCGAAGCTTCGTCTGGAATGACGCATCCTTTGGGATCTGCTGTTGCCTAGGTAGTGCGGAGGCGCCCAAAGATTGGCCTGCAAGGAAAATGGCGAGATAGCCGAAGAAAGAGAATATGCCTTCTCGGTTCTGAGAGAAAAGATCCGTGCGTGGGGCTATTAGGATGAAGGACCCGAGGGAGGTCCAGTCCAAAGCGATCTCGTAGACGGCAGCCAAAGTAAACGAGAGGATGGCGTAAGAAGGTACCAAGTCAAAGGCTGTCTGGAAGAGGGCAGCGAATGGCGGAAGGAAGCCTAGGGTAAAGAAGAAGTTCCAGTGTACCCCATATTCCGTGACATGCTCGGCGTAGTCCAGTCCTTTTACAGAGATGAGCCTTATAACGCCTAGGACGAGAAGGGGAATCGCGTGTCTGAACGATGCTGTCAGGCGCCTTGACAGTGACTGACGGCCAGCTCCCTCTTTGAGAGACGCCCGGACAGACACTACACCAGCAGTAAAGACGAAAGATCCCACACCCATATCCATGAGCGATGTACCCCAGTTCTCCACTTTGGCAAAACGCCGAGGAAAGACGCGGAAGTCGACTGCCAGAATAGCAACACACGTTATAACCATCATCGCGCCCCGATAGTTCGTTATAAACGGCTTGACGGGCAGCGCATCGAGCTTCGTGTCCTTTTCCGACCTATCAATCTTCGGTGGCCTTGGAGCGTCCTTCACCGCGACCGGTTTCTCGAAGACGTATAGCGTGATTGCCGGGAGCAGCAGAAGGAGATTTAGGATCCATGGCGAGGAGGAGTATATGGTAGTCGCGAACAACGTGGCGCCGCAGTTGAGCAGGAAGTCGACGAGGAAGGCAGGCGGCGTGTACGGCGTGAAGAGGCGCATGCGCGACTGGATGACCGACCAAAGTAGAATGCTCAGCTGTGCATGCGGTTAGTAAGAGTGCATTGCTTGAGTAGTGGGTGTGTGTACGGTACAGGCATTGCGAGCGAGACGCTGTTCACGTCTGCTACGGAGCTCCCGGTGTGTCCGGACACCCAGGCCTCCTTCATTTGCTTGTATGTCTTCGCCATGATGCTAGAAAGAGCGTTGCGCGAGTTGGTCGTCTACTATACAGTGCAATGGTTGGTGCACATGTGTATCATGACGCGTCTGGCTGGCCTTTTCGCAAACAGAACATGGCCCGAGCTTTGATGACCTCACACATCGCGACTTCCACTCTCCTCTTCCATACGCTGCACAACGTGATGTAGAGAGTATGGCCAAAATCCAGGGACTAGCAGTTAAATTTGACACCGAAATCATGGAACGGTATGTGATTTTCACCAGGGATGCCAGAAAGAGCAGGAGTGCACTGCACGTGTCCGGACTTCCTCTTTCACCATCACTGCTCCTCCATGAGTAGACGCGTCCGTGCGCAGAACTCCAGATCTGGCAGCTACAATAGAAACTTCAGGCGCCTTCCCACCGCATCGCGACCGCCTCGCCCCGACACGTGCCGAACCTTTTTGCTGTGACCTCCTGACAGCTTGTCAAAGCTGTCAACACATGCTAACATGACGGGCGCTAACAAATCAAAGATACCCAGCATACGGCCGGCCTCGTTTGGCGTGAGAAGTCCGCTGCCTGAGAGGGCATTGTCGCCGGCAACGCGCGCGACGACGACGCCTACGGGCACTTCACGCCTCCCTCGTCGCCCTCAAAGCGAGAAACCGCTGCCGAGTCCGCCTGTGGCGCAGGTGGTAGACCCCAACTCGCCTCCCAAGGCTGCGCGCACCTTGGTGGATGCCTTTACGCCGAGCCCAACGCTGGAGAACTGGCCCATTCTCGCCCCGGAGAACATCCCCCCTCGCCTGAGTTCCAAGAGGAGCTCGCTCCCTACGCGAAGCGGGATCAACTCTGGCCGTCAAACCCCTTCCAATGGCAAGGAAGGCAACAGGGTAAAGCGACTATCATGGCATTCGACGGCGTCGGGCTCAAGCTCAGGAACCGGACCTATCCTCACGATCTCTGCCGATGCAGACGCAGTCATTCTCGGTCAGCGCGACTCCATCCCGGCAGTACCCGCCATCCCCGCGGTACTACCAGAGCGTACTCCTCAGCCGCGTTCTCTAGGTGCTCTTGCTAGTCGGCTCACTCGGGCGACAACGTCCAAGGCATCCTTGAGTATTGCGACTACATCGCCAGTACACAGCACGGCAGAACTTACGGCGAATGGCAGCCCAGTTGTTAAGATCAGCCCCATTCGGTCGATGCAGCCAGCGAGGAAGCCTAGTCTTGATGCTCATTCTCCCCAGCTGCCTTCGTCTCCGTCTATGATCTTCCCAGACGCGACAACTGTCGGTAACACACCTGAGGTAATTGTAGAGACTGAGCGCAGTGTATCGCCGATCTCAGATAGGTCTGCGACGCCTACACCTGAGCCCAGGTCTGTACCGTTGCTTCGAGACTCCTCTGACCCGCCTGTTGATTCCTGGGACGCCTATCAGGTATGTGAACTCGATTGCGTGGCGTGACGGTACTAACAATTGTTTCAGGAACAGCTTGAGGAGCTCTCTGAGCCTACGATTGTACCAGGACCCGACGACTCCCTCACCGTGAGCAAAGTCAGGCGGACAGCACCAGCACGCGAAAATGCGAGTCCCTCACCAAGCTCGATTTACCCTACTGTCGAGGACGACTCGACCGCAAACCCCAGTGCTGCCGAATTGAGTTCTTCGTCACTGCCTCACGCCGAGCCTTCACGCGAGACGGTCCGCACCCAGGCTCCTCCCAAGCCAAGGACCGCGGAGACTGCCAGGTCTATCAGTATTGATAACGCATTGGGCCGTGGAATACCTAAAGCCCGTCAGCCCTTTCGCCGCCACGTCACACCTGTAGTCTCTTCGTCACCTGCAGAAGATACACCCCCGGACAACCATGATAAGGAAACTGTTACGAGCAGGATCAAAGCCAAACGCAGCATTCGCAACCTGTTCAACCGTGAGAAGACAAGCCCAAAATCACCAGAGGCGGCGGCGTCCAAACAAGGATTCATGAGTAGCACGCGAAGCTCGCTCGCTAAGGTCTTGCGCGATTCCAAGAGCCTCTCGAAAGTTCATCTGCCAAGAAAGACTGAATCGAAGCTGGAGACTGAGTCTGATCACGTCTCTAACAAGAAGAGCTTTCAGCCAGGCATGTTCTCTGCATTTCCCAGCGGTAGAGCCACGCCGGCCGAGCAGCCATCGTCCGGAAGGCCGAGCCACGCAGATGAGATGCTTCACGACATCGTCGACCGTATAGATGCGCAACCTGAGAACTCACAAGAGCGTCTGCGTCACGTGGAGATTGCAGAGGTAAGTGAAGCCCTCCGAATCAACACCGTGGATGAAGCTCTCCGATTGAAAACCATTGCTGAAGAAGAGCTTGTCCTGACCGTACGAAATAAACAGTGTATCATTTCGGCCGCCGATAGTTCTCGAAAAGCCAACATCGCCGCGATGGAAGCGAGGAAGAGTGCTGTTGAAGCGGAATATCATGCCGATCGCGTCACGTCCGAATTCACACGCCTGCGCGAGCTACTCGACACCACGCCGATGGATGCTGAGTCCACGAGATACATCAAGAGTTTCCTACCTAAATTTGAACGCAAACGATCGAGAGAGGAGATTCGCCGAGGATTTATGCCGGGCTTTCATACAGCATGTTGAAGGTATGTTGGCATTTCTGATGTACCCACAGACCAACAGCTAACGAGGAATAGCGCGCCTTGAGCGACGCTTCGTATGCTCTGCTACCACACACACCCGGCTATTGTTCAAGGCTCGTTCTTTGCATGATCGACGCAAGATCATATCTACGACTTGATCTTGCTGCGTGGATCTGGGTTTTCCGGTTTTTACTGGATCAGATGACCTCTTGTACACTTCCATTTCCTTTTATCGACACTTCTTTCACATGAGAGAGACACCATGGCGCGACGACTGTACGATACCCAACGATTGCATGAGTTTACGGTTTCGCGATGCTATGAAAGCACACGCTTATGGACCGACCCGATGTCTTGCTCACTATTCAGCAAGGACATCACCTAATGGTTAAAAGACTGCACGACTGGACACTGAGTTACTGGATCGAACTGCACTTACATGCCAACACGTAAAGTGCAACATTGGGAGATACCCTGATACATAGACCGGTCGAATTGAAAACATAAACTTTGTATTGTACATGTCCTTCATGTCGTGTGATATCATTGCTGAGACCGTAACCACATCAACAGTCGCACGTCAAGAGGCTGGAGTGGAGTATGCAGAGAAACCCTCCAGCATCTCCAACTAGAGACACCTTCCATGCAATGACCCTATACAGCCATGGTCACCCGACGACATGGCGCCTCTGCTCCCAAATGCAAGAGCTATTGTGGCCCGAAGCAAAAGCCGCGAGGTTTATCCATATCATCCAGCCTCAGTATCCCGCACATTCCACATAGTATCCTTCTTTACATCCCACCACCGAACATGCCGCCGCCACCACCACCCTGCTTTCCTTGCGCCTCACCCTGCATCTTCTCGCTAACCTTGACATTGACCTCGAAGAACTTGGATACGCAGCGGTCGAGGCAGACGGATTCGCCCTTGTTGAGATCGGCTTCGCGGTACGATGTGTCTATGCATTTGGATGTGCAGGATTTGACGAGGCTGGAGCAGTGGGAAGTTAGTAAGTTGCTTGTTTCTTGAAAAGATTGAGGGAGGAAGGGAGGGTTGGGGGAAAGGGAAGGTTAGGGAAGAATGATGAACGTACCGACTGTACATGTCGGAAACCATGTCGATTTCCGCTTCGGCCTGTGCAATCTTTTGCTCCGAAGAGATTTGGGGTTTTTGACCGAAGAACATTGACATCTTGGGTGGTAGTGGGTGGTTGTTTTCTTTCTAAGATAGGTGAGAGAGGTGCGCAATTGGCGGGTTGGTTGGGTTGGTAGGTACGGTACGGTACGGGTAAGTGGTGGCTTGGTAGGGTGGAGTGGCCGTGGTGATGGATTTGGACATGGGTGACGGCGGGCGATGATGTCGCGCGAGCAGGAATTTGGAGCTGGGTGCGCGGTGGGGGACGTGCGGCGAGGAGGCTTGATGATGCGGTATGCTAACCACCAGTTTGTCTCTGCGTCTTTGGGCAAACTTCGCAGTCATGGCTACTCATCATGTCGCTTTACGTTTTCCATTCGCTCTTTCAGCCATTAGCCGCGTCTATCACTTCCTGGACCCCGGGCATCCGGCGCAATGACTAGATTCGCATTCGCTGTCATCAGCATGAGTATCCGGGATCCTTTCATCAAGGAGAGACACTGTTCATATCTCAATGAGATATCCAGAATCAACGACTTCAAGCTTTTCTTGTCCAGCTGAACGTATATTGCTGTTTGACAAACTTCAGATACCACAAAGCCCCCTCTCGTTGCTACTACAAGTATGCCTCCTCAAGATCGATTTCTGGTATCGTCTCTTCGTCTCTGTCACGATGACATCCAGATCACGTATTCGCAAGCAACTACCTTCGAAGAATCATGGCTTCCTAATAAGTTTCCCCCCTGAGGTGCGAAATCCGATCTACGAATACGTCTTCGAGGACTTTAATCATGCTATATTGGTCACGCACACGGCTGCTTCAACGGATGACGGAAGGCCAATGAACGCATCACCACGTATGGGAACCAACGATTCTGTGTTCTTTTGTAACATACCGTCTGTACAGCTGCTTCGGTGTTGCCGACAAATCTACCGCGAAGGCATGGGTGTGATCCTATACGGGACGACAGTCATGTTCAAAAATCGGCGTAACTTTTTGCCCTTCCGGGACAGGGACCACCTGCCATTTGTACGTTTCTGGCTGAAGTATTTTGGATCTGAGACTCCGCTCTTGCGAGCAGTCGTTGTTGATCTGTCTGTACCGACCCTTCCCAATCACGACGACCCCCACAAGCGTATAGATCTCCTGCCTTTACTAAGCAGCATGATTGGCTCGCCTCAAGAAATATTGTGGGTTGACTTCACGTTGAGTCCACAATTGCCGTCAATCCCATCGGTACCAGACTACACGAACGCTCGCCTACGTTTGGGTTACTCCAATTGGAGATCTCCTCCGGATCAAGATCCGGATCAAGACTTACTGGAAGGAACGTTGTACACACTTGTGAGACAAGATCCATTTGATCTTCGTAGACTTGGCGATTTAGGCCGCCGTCTTTCGTGCATCACCTTTAACAGGTCTGTGATCAAAGGTAACATCAGATGGCGCACCATCACTGGTTGTTTGGCGCCCAATATAAACTTCAAAGTTCCTGAAGACAGTTGGGCAATACACAAGAGACACATCCAATCGACCTCCAATCTCTTCTTCCTCCCACCAGATATCCTGGGAACAATTTGCGAACACGCACTAAGCTTACTTGGGAGCATAGTCATCGTCCTCGGCATGAAGACAAGCATATTTCCGGTATTTCACCTGCTCAACCTGGTCAAGAAGCGTCCAAGACTCCTCGGCGTTATCGTGCCCAGTATCTACACTTCGAACACGTTCACATTTATTACGAATATTCACACGAAACGCGCAACATATGGAGATATGTCACACCTGTTCTTTTGGCTGAGAATGGACGTGCTCGACATTCGAACGGCCGCCACGACAGCCCCAGAGGCGGTCCACAGAGTCAAAGAAGAAGCAAAACGGAGACCTGGCAAGAGATTAGCTAGGGCTACCGCCAGAGCAGCCGCCGGACAACGCAAACTTTTGTCGGTGACGTTTTCCGAAAGAGTGATCGATAGAAAGATGATGTCTTGGCGCCTGGCTCGCGAAGCTAGGCAACGACGTAATGACAATCAGGCGAAGGCGGCTCAAACAACGGCTACGAAAGACGCACGAACAGTTCTGCGGTGGATGAAGGCTGTCCAATTTGAGTTTCGATTCGATCTCTGCGAGAGAACGTCATTAGAGAGCTTACGGATCAGCATCATCGACTTACTCAAAACGACAACATGGGACGAACCTTTTGATGCCACCATCAAATGCGTACTCACTTGCCCTGGGAAAGATGGTCACACGGCGCACTCCGAAAGCGCCTTCACCCTCCGCCATGTACAGCTTAACGCTTTCATTATCCTGTCTCACGTACTGGAAGCCCAGCCCGGCAGGTTGAGATGGACTTGTCCAAACGTCTACATCAACGGCTGCGGCATCGCCGTAGAGATCACGTATCCAAACAAGCCCCGAGGGCCGAGGTTTCACGGCGCCACCCACGATATGAGCAACCCAACAAAAGCAGAGGAGCGCGGTAAGCATTACGCTAGGTGGCTCAAGCATTTAGTGCCTGTGGGCGGAAAGACTTGGGAGGGTAAGGAGATGACTGATGACGAAAATCGAGTTCCGGGTAGCTTGATCAGGGTGTGGGATGATCTGAGGATCGCGCTATGGGGTGAAGGTCTGAGAGCTGCGTGGTGAGTAAATGGGAGCCTTGACGAGGGCCCACTTCCCGACGTAAGAGCAGCGAATTTGCGTACGAGGCCGCATGCGGTAAGTCGCCGCCTGTGTACCTAGGTAGGTAAAGCGCAAAGCGCGTGACTTCTACTTACTATTTCTCCGCTGGATTACTACTGTTTGTCTTCTACTCTTCGTACTTTCCTATGCACTTTACACTCGATTGTCTCTTACGTTTCATCAGTTCTGCCATGGAGACACGTCTCGGCTCGAACGACCCCAACGGAAATTTTGGCCTTCAACAGCATACGGCCATATCAAGTCTCCTGTCAGCACATGACAGAGCCAAGCAATCAACCACCGCAATATCCAACAAGAAAGACAGGGCTAGGGCAATCCTAGAGACGTACTCATTGCCGGCGGACGCAAGCGCACGTTCTTTCATCTCGCTCCCCTCAGAGATCCGAAATCAGATATACGACCTACTGTATGTCTTGGATGAACAACTCTTCGTATGGGACACGGGCGCACGTTGGGGAGGTGTCGAATCAGAAGCGGCGCTGAATTTTGGGCTACTTTTCAGCTGTCGCCAAGTCTACTGGGAAGCTGCCAGCGTTCTATATCAACGGAACCACTTCTTCGTGTCATCCTGGTACGAACAGGCTTATTTCAAGAGATGGTCCGAACAACTAGGTCCTCGGGCGCAATTCCTGAGACATGTCACCATCGATTACACCGCTTTGTCTTCCGAGCTGGAGGAAGATCACGGCCCCACTTGGGTAGTCGCTCTCGACTTGCTGCCGCTGTTACGATTGCTTTGGACCGAGTCTGGAGCAATGCTGCAAGTCTCCATCGAGACTCCGAGTTATAACGATGCGCCCGCCATATTCAACAACGCTTTCAGATCCATCGCTCAGGAAGACCAGCTAAACCTCAGACGGTATTCAAATCTGCTTGCATCGGTGATCTTGAGGGTTGAAGGGACCATGGGCACAGTTACCTTCGCAAGCACTACCCCCGAAGCGAACGTGCAATCTACTTTCTCATGCTCAGATGAAGGGAAATTAGTCACTATGAGCCAAATTCCGCGGAAACCGGAGCTCTCAGCTTTACCTGCATCCGTTTATCATGCTATCATTGCATATGCAGTCCAGCCTACCGTAAAGCTCTTCGCTAGCCCGCTCTCTACGATACTGCCGCCGTGGAAGTCCCCTGTGTTCCGTGTCAATCGCAAGGTACG